ATTGGTTATTTATTTATTTTGTATTGTTCTGAAACCATTATTATAAAAAAATTCTGTACACATTGTATACGGATTTAGCGAGTGCACCAAAAAGTTTTACAGTATCCATGAAAACTAAACTATAACTAAAAAACTGTAAACAATCAAAATTGGTGTCTCCACCTCCTTTAGATAATGTATTTGCTTCCACATGAGTGTCTTCATATATTGGTGGTATTGGACCTCCCTTATGCTCAGATGATAAAAACAAATTCATAGATGATTTGTAATAAATTCCAGGGAATCCCCTCTGCTCTTTTTTTAGACCATATGATAACACCTAATTAGTCTCCCCAATAATCACTTTTCCAAACATTTTCAGGTACCAACTTCATTCCTTGAAGTAGAGATCTTGCCTCTGCGTCATCCTCTGTATATACATCACACGGTCCCGCGTATGTAATAATCAAATGGTCACAAGCCCACCCACACCCACACCCACACCCACCCGCCATCCTGGCTTACCATAGTAACTCCCATCAAAATTAAGTTTTAACACAACCCAACCCGTAGGTGGGAATTTCCAAAAACCAACCATTGTGCCTTTTTTCGTTCTATGGCAAAGCACCTCCCCGAAGTTTGATTATAATTGCTTCTCAAATCAGTCCTGCATTCATTTGTTGTGCTCGCCCCCAATCTGCCACTGAGACAAGAATCTTTGACTTCACACTTTCAACTCCTAGGTGAACTCCTTCAAATGTTCTTTATTTCTCTCTCTCTCTGCAATTACCAAATACTAGCAGCTACCAACAATGTCCACAATGACCTGTCTTTCCCAATGGTACTGCAAACCACAATTTCAACTAGGTGCCCAATGTTTCTTTGCCAAACCCATTGTATATCTCCACCATTTGTGGAGCCCAACACCATGAATTTCTTGCAAACTGTATGAAGAGATGATCAATGTTTTTCTCCTTTTTTACAAGAGGAACACATTTATTAAAATCATGCCTCTCTTTCTCAGCCTGTCCACGGTTGGTAATTTCCCTGAGCTCAATACTCAACCAAAAAAAAAAAAAGCATTATCTTGTGGGTTGAGGGGAGGTCCCAGATTTTCGAAATCGACTTATTAATCTTGTTCTATCTTGAATTATTGGAGTGTGTGCTATTCAACCGAAACTTGACCATCTTGAATAACCTCCCAGATGAATTCATCCTTCTCGTGGGGGGAATAGTAGAATCTTTGGGGGAATATTGGAATTGATGTAGCCCTTCCATTTGTCTAAGAAAGGTGATAACCTTAAACTTTCCCTTAACTCGTTTCATGCCTGGGTATAGGGGCTAGGTTGTGTTAGGTAGGCAGCCAATGTAAAATTTTGCTAAAAGTTGACTGGTTGAAGAAGCTGATCAACAATGTGTTGAGAATAAAGAAAATGCTATATGAATGGAGGAAAAATATTGTGGTACCTATTTACAAGAACAAGTGAGATAGACAGAATTGTGCGAACTATCGAGGGATCAAGCTTATAAGTCATGCTATAAAGTTCTAGGATAGAGTAATTGAGCATCGACTAAGGCATGAAACAAATGTATCTGAAAACCAAATTGGTTTTATGCTAGGAAGGTCAACAACTGAGGCTATTTTCCTACTTAGGCAACTGATTGAGAAGTTTAGGGCGAAGGGAGAAGATCTCCACATGGTCTTACTGATCTAGAGCAAGCTTACGATAGAGTTACTCGATATTTGATTTAATGGGTGTTGGAAAATAAAAGAGTCTCCTGACACTACATCGACTTGGTGAGAGATATGTACGATGGAGTGCAAACTAGTGTACGAAGAACTTGTGGAGAGACAAATGAGTTTTCAGTGACAATAAATTTACATCAAGGGTCAGTATTGAGCTTGTACCTCTTTGTCTTAATTATGGATGACTTAACTAGGCACCTATAGGATGAGGTACCCGGGTGCATGTCGTTCGATATAGTTTTGATCGGTGAGATCCGAAACGACGTTAACACAAAGTTGGAACTTTGGAGGGATGCCTTAGAATCCAAATGTTTTAAAATTAGCCAGATTAAGACATAGTATATAGATGCAAGTTTAGTAATAATATGAGTATAGATGAGGAAGTAGTTAAGATTGATGGCCAGGAAATGCAAGAAAGACCTTACTTTCGATAGCTTGGGTCGATAATCCAGGAAAATAGAGAGATTGAGGGAGATGTCGCATACAAAATTAGAGTTGGGTGGGCAAAGTGGAGATGTGTAACTGGAATTTTATGTGATTGCCGTATACCAATGAAGTTGAAGGGCAAGTTCTATGGGACAGTTGTGAGGCTAACTTTGCTTTATGGGGCGGAATGTTGGGTGGACAAAAAACAATATATCCATAGAATGATTGTAGCGGAGATGATGATATTGAGATGGATGAGTAGCAAGATAAGAACGGATGGAATTTGAAATGAATCCATTCGGGAGAATTTAGGTGTGGCACCAATAGGCGATGAGATGAGAGGTAGTAGACTTAGATGGGTTGGCCCTGTGTGGCGCTGATCAAGTACAATACCTGTTAAGAGGTGCGAGTTAGTTCAAGTGAAAGGACTGAAAAAGGCAGAGGTAGGCCCAAAAAGATATGGTTGGAAGTAGTCTGACAAGTTATAGGAACCTATGGTCTCACTAAGAGTATGATCTTTAATAAAACAAAATGATGGTCCAGGATTAGTGTAGCCAACACGAATTAATTGGAAAAAGAATAATGATAATGAAAACCATAATAATGATGATAATGATGTAACATTTCCATCAAAGCAGCGCACTAACCACTAAACATGCCTGACATCCTTTGGTATCTGCATTCAATCAACTAGGTAGTATTTTGTCCTTCCCCACTGACAACTTTCTCGACTTTGGCAAATTGGTGCACCACTTTGCAATAAATCTCAGGGAAGTCCAACTTCAAAGGCCTTTCACCTATCCATTGATGGTGCCACAAAAGAGCGTCATTACCCCTACCCACCAGCGTCCCAACCTATCTTTGTAAGAAAGGTCTACGGTAGCGGTTCCAATCCATAAACATCCGGGGCTACATTTTCCTTGTCTGCCCGTTAACAGGGGGTCATAATTCTTTTTTTTTTTGGACCAATGTTAATATTTTTTAATACTAAAAAAACATGATTACAATATTGGAGATAACAAGAAAAGATAAAAAACACACCTTTAGCTAACTCATCAGCCATAGAGTTTGCATTACGATAGACATGAGAGCAGATTACCGTAATGAAAGAAGGTAAATCCATGATCCATAGCCATAAAGAAGTTCTCAAGGGACACGTTGCTCCTTATTATACTATTTAACGGCATTAAGAGAATCACCTTCTACCCAGCATGTATGGCCACAATTTATTTCTACAAAAATCTTCAAACCATGATAGAGCGCACTCAATTCAGCAAAGTTGGTTGTAACACACCCTATCGGCCCTGCATATGAGAAGATAATATTATCATCACAGTCACGTAAAACTCCTGCAATACCTGCTAACCCCAGGTTACCAAGAGAGCTACCCTCAAAGTTGAGTTTCAAAATACCCATAGGTGGCGGCATCCAGATACTTTTTGGTTTGCACCGAGTGACTCCCATAAGAAAAAGATTGCTAAGGTTTGCTATTACATCAATCTTAGAAACTCCCAAGCTACTTTTGACATAAATAGCCATTCCTAGATAGAGAGTTTAATAGATTGAATTAAGCTGTCCAAAGACATAAACACCTCTTCAAAAGTCCTTATGTTTCTCTTTTTTTAGATTTCCCAAAGAATAACTCCTTTAGCTATCCTCCACAAGGCTTGACCTATTGCAGGTAAATGAGGTAAGGATAACTGAGTAACAATACTATCCACAGTATGAGGAAGGGCCAAATTGATGTTCACAACCCCAAACAGCCA